AAAAATCAGCTGGGCGTGGTAGCGCATGCCTGTAATTCCGGCTACTTGGAAGGCTGGGGCGGAAGGATCGCCGGAGTCCAGCAGGTCGAGGCTGCGGTGGCCGGGAGCGGCCACTGCACTCCAGTCTGGGCGACCGAGTGAGACTCCATCTCAAAAAGAAAAGAAAAGAAAACAAGAGAAGTACTGCAAAGTTCAGGTGCCACAGAAAGCAGGAAGTGATTAACCATGGAGGGGTGGGCAGGAAAGTCTTCCTAGAGGGAACCTCAGTGCTGAATGCAGGAAGATGACTCAGAATTTTGCAGAAAGACAGGAAGGGCACTGGTGATATGAACTGAATATTAGAACGATCGGGGTGAGCTGTAGCAGGGAAAAGACTGAGGAAGACCAGAGAGCAGCAAACAAACACACAAACTCTATAACGGGGTCAAGAGACCATGCTTATTTGGTGTTAAGTTTTAGGTGTCCATGCACAAGTACACACACATTTGTGTGTGTGTATTTAGCTTGTTTGTTTGATATAACCGGCAAATGATGGTCTCTAAGGCCCCTTCCTCCTACACTAACATTTTCTTGTATCATTTGCACAAACATAACACATTGTCAGGGTGCACTCATCTTACAAAAATTCATGACTTAATATAATATAATCTATAATATAGAATGATATATTAACGTTTGTGCTGTCATCAATTAAATATGAATACCATCTAATGCCATGATGTTTTGGAAATGAACCAAAGTCCATTAGTCTCAGACTATAAATTTCTCCAACTGAGAAACATAAAAGCAGTTGCTTTTGTTGACTGGAAGCTAAAAATACTCTAAGCTAGGAGAATATTTGATGAGGATCTGGGTTAGTCAATAGACTCCTTCATGGTCTCTCTGAATAAAACCTATAATACATAAGATTTCTTCAGGTGACTTAAAAAATGAAAAAAAATGTCCTCTGTGTGGGGGTTACTGAACACTTCAATTAAATACAAGTCAGATTGACTCTGACAAAAAATCAAATGTTAAGATACTTTTGTGCTGGTAGTGCCCTGAAGTTCTGGTGGAAGAAAAATTACTCATAGAAATAAATAGCAAATTAGCCAATTCTCTTAGTTTGTGGGTTGCTCAAAGTTGAGGACTCTTAAGACATGAATCACCACCAAATGTGGCTATAAAAAGACAACCTTTATGTGTTAATCCAAAATAGAATTCGATAAGCTAGTGTATACTAAAATGTAATTGAAAACAAATGTCCCTTTAACGTTAAATGGTGTAATACCAGAAAGATTGTCATTTTTTAGTTCTAATGTCAAACAATGCAAATTAACCTGGATAAAATCAGAAGTGAAAGCACTCTATGATCATCTTGTAATGGGAAACTATCTATTTCCACAAAATTAGCATAAATAATCTTGTTTTTTTTTATAAATTTATCAGTTTCTCAATTTAAAATATAGTAGACATTTAGACAGAGAACAGGATATACAAAGCCAGTAGGGATAAATAAAAGATAGAAAACAATAGTAAATAATCAAAAGTATCCTAACATGCTAGAATGCTGGACTGAAACCAAGAAGATGAAAATTAACTATTATCAAAGTAAAGGACTGAATCTTGGTTGAAAACATTAGTTATATATTTTATGTTGAGAGAATATTATGAAAGAATCCTAATGATTTAATATAAACCCAGAATGCACTAAAAATACCTAAAACATGTATTCCAGGCTGAGACTGTATTAGCTGATGTACAAGGTCCACATAAAATACCATTGTTCTAAATTGTTCAAATTATATGAGAGGACAGTTTTCTTCTTGAAGAGTGACATTTCAAGAGATGTATTTATAAATGTAAAGAGCCTAAAAACTATACATAGGAAAAAGCTATTAAGACAATATATTCGATGCTAAAAAGAAATACCAAGAATCCACTTTTTGGCTGGACTCAGTGACTCAGCCTGTAATCCCAGCACTTTGGGAGGCTGAGGCGAGTGGATTGCCTGAGCCTGCAAGTTAGAGACCAGCCCAGGAAGCTTGGTGAGACCTCGTCTCTACAATAAATCAAAAATTATCCGGGAGTGGTAGCGCGTGCCTGTAGTTCCGGTTCCTTGGAAGGCTGAGGCGGAAGGAGCACCAGAGCCTAGCAGGTCGACGCTGGGGTGACTGTGAGCATGAGTGCCACTGCACTCCAGCCTGGATGACAGAGTGAGACTCCAACTCAAAAGGAAAAAAAAAGAATCCACTTTTTAGTATTTAGAATTTTAGAGAGAAATATACTAAAAAGAAACGAAAATATACTAAGAAAAAGCAACAAAGGCTGTTTTATAAAAGAAAATATTTACCTTTTGTGGGACAAAAGAACATATGAGTAGGTTTTCTGCTCAGCATGCAGAGGTACTTTCAAATG